ATTTCTATTAAACAAATACATTAAAGCTATCTATTAGTTTTGTGAGATATTTAGTTGAAAGGTTGCCATATTCTGTATATTACAGTTTGTAGAAATTCTGTATTATTCATTTTAGCACTGATTCTGTCCGCCGTGAACATGCTGAACGGATAAGGTCGACTAAGAGATCAGAATGGTTAGAAAAAAAATTTCTAACACGTATTGAATGATGAAGGCTAGAGCTGTTTCTTGTCTTCCAAATATTTTGTCGATGTCCCAAAATCTGCTACTGCAACTCTTAGCAGCAATATACCAGAGGCCTGTTCAACAGAGCGAACGTTCGCGAGCGCTCGCCAAAATTCCTTATCTTTCCAACAGAAATGTTCGCGAGCGCTCGCGAACGTTCGCTCTGTTGAACAGGCCTCTGGCCCTTCAAATACAGAACGAATTATTTTGTTATGGCAATTGATTTTATTGGATATTGTTAAAACTATGTAGTAGCTTGCGATATCTACAATGGAAGCAAAAAAATGGGATATGATTTTTTTTTCTATCGGAATTTCTTTTCAGGAATCTAGCTAAAGTAAGCACCAAATACTCAAATCTATACGCACATAACATATATTTATATATCTATTCTACATATATTCGGATATTTAAAATGCTCAGTACGCTGCTCTGTCTAAGCTTATGTTGGTGTTTTGCCGAATTTCACCAAGATGTTGTAATAGCTGGAAGTACACTCGAAGGCGGAATTATTGGCATTCCTTTCTGAGCTTTACAGACTAACGATGGTGTTTTGCAATTGTGCATCGCTTTTGCTCAATGCCATATGTTTAATTTCATTGTCAGGTGTACATGTAAAAATGCTGTTTGTTCTTCTCCGAAGAGAGATTATTGAAATGTGATCCTATTCAGATATATGAAAAGGCAAGAAAGGTGTGTCCATCGTAATTCAACTTCACTGGTCATGACCTATAAGGAATTAAAACTTTGCGCCAAAATTATGTCTATTGTGTATATAGTTTTGGCCTTTAAGACCTGGAAAATATTTTCATTTATGTCAACTGAGTCTGCAAAAAACAAGAAAAAAGTTACAATTTTTTTCAGCATAAATTATGAAAGCGAAAGTTTCTTTTTTGATTTTACAAATTTAAACAATCACAGTTATTCAGCATCCAATTTTACGGAAGTAAATAATGTATGCCTGCTCTGAGCTTTCCATTACAGATCTTCACTTAAGATGTAGACAAAGTAGAAGTGGAGAAACTCAAAGGCATTTATATAGTTTGAATTGTTATTAAACTAATTGTCCCCCGCTTTCGCGAAAGTGAGGGAACATTAAATCTCATTCGTCTATCTGTCAGTCTGTCAGTCTGTCACAAAAACTTTAACCTTGGTCATAACTTTTGAATGAGAATAGATAGGGCTTTCATATTTCGTATGTATATTACCTGTGACAAGACCTTTCCAAACATATTATGATTTTTGACCCCATGACCATGATGTTGAGGTTTGAACTACTTTTAAAAATTTGTAACAATACTTTAAATTGGTCATAAAATTTGAATGAAAAAAAATTTGACCTTCATATTACATTTTTACAATACATATGACAAGACCTTTCCAAATATACTATGGTTTTTACACCCCGTGACCTTGTCCTACTTTCAAAATAAAAAAAAGTATCTATGCTAAAATTTTGATTGAGAATAGACAGGGCTTTCATATTTGACATGTGACAAGGTGATTCTGAGCATGCTATTCTTTTGACTCCTTGACCTTGACCTTTATGTTTGATCTTTTTTTCAAAACTTTTAACTTTGGTGATTACTTTTGAATGATATATGATAGGGCGTTCATATTTGACAAGTGAAATTTGTGATAAACCAAGTGATGAATTCGCATGTTTCTTTCGTGTAACAAATCCTGATTGCTGAAGGGATACATGGAACAATTGTACAAGACTGACTACAAAGTGTATAAATTGAACAATTTAACAGAAGGGATCAAATATTTTTGTTTCCAAAGCAGATTACTAAACACCTTCAATGACACTCGTAATCAGTAGCAGGTATTGTTGTACAAGAAGTTATGTTTGTTTGTTTGAATGTTGTTTAACATACCTCTCGAGAATTTTTCACTCATTTGGAGACGCCACCGCTCGGCACTCAGGGCCATTGAGCAGCGAGGGATCTTTTTCGTATCAACCTACTGCGACACGGGACCTCGGTTAATGCAGTCTCATCCGAAGGACTGGTCTCCACATCCCACAGTGGATTCGAACCCGCGACGTAAGGATAAACTCCTTACTTCGCGACTCTAGAGCAGATGCTCTAACCACTACTCAAGAAGTTATGTGCACGGTCCCTATTATGGCTGAGAATTAATTTTCTTAATTGTCAAAGGCTGATCCAGCACCAGCGGACCGTGCGATGCCCCCTCCCCCCTTTTGAGATTTTTTTTTAAATTAGCTATATTTATTTATTTATTTTCCCTTCTGTTAATTTTTTCAACTTGCTCATACACTTAATTTAGTCCACATGAAATGTTTTTAATACTTTTAAGTTAATGGAAACTCAGTCGTGTAGGTGAATTACTTTTCTTAGATTTGCATACATTATGAACACATTTATTTTAATGCAAAACCCATTTGTGTTGGATTTCTATTTTAATAATTTGTCAGTCATCAAAATATGATAGTTACTTTGAAATATAAACCCCTATATTTTCCTCTGTTTTCAGTTTAAAAAAAAATTCATAATTGATATTATATTCATTCATTAATTTTATATCATGGCACTTAACACATGAAACACCTCAATGTTACGAAAGCCCAGAAAACTCATTCCTTAACATTTTATATAATTTTATTTTCTCCCTAATCAATGGAGTCATTAAATTATTTATCGACGTGAAAAATTTCTTGTTCAACGATAAGGCTTTATAATATCTATGTATTTATTGTTTTATTAAATAAGAAAAAAAAGTCATTAATGCATAATTTTATCAACGTAACCAAATATCCATGTTCATTTCGTTTTCATAAATGTAACATTCTTTCTTACATTATTATTTAATCAAATGACTCGAGACTTACACGCTAGGTGTCGTTTTTGCATCACTTCCGTAATTTCTACTTTGACATTTCCAAATCTTGTAGCATTTTTCACGTTTGACAATGAATACTCGGATTATTATGGAATGCCTGGGCAATTAAATAGCACGATTAAAGACAAAAATATCTACCGAAACAAGATATCATGACACATTTTGGTGACATTTATTAGGTAAATGATATTTCGGGCCTGATATCCAAGAGGGGTCAAGTGTAAACAAATGGAAGTGACTTACCTTCTCTATTTTATAATACCGCGGGTATGATTTTTTAGTAAAAGGTTAATTCTGCGTTTTAGTAAAAAGTTAATTCTGCGTTATTTTTTTTTTTTTGATTTTTCTAATGGAATACATTGCAAATGTGTACTAGAAGAATATTTTATGAAAAAAATTACATAAAAATATTTTTGACCTGTGGGGTATATTCGGGGGGGGGGGGGAGGGGGGTCTTGTCCACAAGTACCTGTGCTAGGGAGTTCTGGTATAATTTCATTGCAAAAGCTCAAAAGCTTCTTGAGATATCGCCCAGAAACGAAAGTGTTACACAAAGACGGAATGTATAAATTTATGACCTTGACCTTTGACCTTTTGACCTCAAAATCAATAGGGTTCTTCTTTAGGCCATAGGGAGTTGCTATGAAAAATTTCATTGCGAAAGCTGAAAGGGTTCTCGAGATATCGCGCGCAAATGAAAGTGTTACAGACAGTGCAGCCTCGGTTGACAATGGTTTTCTTGGGGTGAAAATTTTCAATGTTACACTCAACTACATGCAGTATTTATTATATTATACTGAATGTTTTATACAAATACATATTACAGTGAACCTTGCGCGCATGAATTCTGCGCAGTCAATATTTTTTGGAATAACACCCGTTGTCAAGCAATGTTAACTGTTGCTACGCTGGTGGGCGTGGCTTCCTTATTCAGCGGGTAATAGTGTTTATTAACAAATGTTTCTCGACGAATCAGATTCAACTAATTTACATGAAAGTATAATATACAGAAATACAGACGGACGGATGGACGGACAGACAGACCCAAATCAATATCCCCCACTTTCAGTGAAAGCGGGGGACAAAAATGTTCGATTACAAACTACTTCCAATTACTTGACAATCTGTAAAATAATTACACTCTTTTTCACTTACTTTTTTTAAACATTTTCCCATCCCCTTTATCTATTACCAAGATACACATTTGATTGTGTACCTGACACCAGAAAATCTCGAGGACAGTGCTACGTGCAGTATATAATATATAGCCCGACAGATTTACAGTAAGTGGCGAGGAGGAAATTGTGTTGTTGTTTTTATTAACCAACACTATTAATTACGAGAATCCCAGTTAGCAAGAACTGTCACATATACCTAAATGAAAAATAAGTGAATTTAAATGTACTTCTTATTCTATTCACTACAAACTAACGAATTGCCAAAGCTTTAATAAGTTGGGAAAACAAACTGCCATTGTGCCTTCAAAGCGGGAATGAGTCTATGTGTACTTTTCCTTTGTATAATAATATTTATTTACATTCTGCATATATTATTTACGTTCTGCATATATAATAACGAACTAAACTGCAATGGTAGCAATATAATTATTTTAATGTGCACATTTACAAAACAGCAGAAACATATTATTTATCTGCTATAACTGTGAAAAAGTTAAACCAATATAAAAAATCAATGAAATCAATCAAATTTTGAAAGAAAAAAAAGTTAATTGGTTGATGCCAAAATTGAGGCCATTTCTTTCTACAGAAGCCAAAATAGAGGACAGGTTTCGGGGGCCAGGTCAGGTTTTTATGGTATGCCAAAACAGAGCGCACTTAAATCATTATGAATGATTCATTGTGATGTAGTTTTCTTTCCTTTACACGTACTCAGGATAGTTTCGGTTTCAGTGTGCTTATCATGTTTTATACGGTACTGTATTGACTTAACCTTGAAGGGGAATTTAAAACACCGACGTAAGTTTTTGATTTTCATGCTCAATTGACAAATGCTCATTGATCTGAGTAAATTCATAGACATTTTTACGCATGTTGACCACAAGATGCAACTTTTCATGTGTACTTACCTCATGCTTTTATGTATTCAAAATATATAGGTTAAATTATTTCGCATTGCTTTGACATCTTTCATATTTACTCACACATGGTTTACCTTTAAATATCAAGCACACTTTGCAATGTCGTTATAAAGATGGCAAAAAATAAGATGACATTTTTCGAGAAAGTTATTGAAATATGCTGACATTGAACTGCCAAGGCATGAGGGATGTCAATAAAAATGAGAAATGACTTCGATTTTTGCAGGGAAAAAATAATGTGAAAAAAAACGAGAAGTACATATTATTTTTAGTAACATGTACATGTAGATTGTACGATTCTTGTATTTCTCAACACTTAATTCTTTGTATTTTTTTTATAAAAAGTTACTCCTTTTATATTTTACACTGATATTTAAATAACTTGCAGGACTATCGTTGTTTTTTCTATTTCTATTTTTTTTATTGCCAAAAACAGATATTTACTCGTGTATGGTGTATTTATCTTACTAAGGGGCTAGCTGTTTCTAACTTTAAACAAACATTCTGAGGGTATTGCGTAAATGATATTAGTCCCTAACAAGCAAGTGCAATCTGGTACCTCTTTAAAAAAATGTAATTCTCTCAAAAATAATTAAAAGCAGATGAAAATTGATCTGGAACTCAAGACAGATTTATATACCAAATCCTAGTATCAGTTGAATATCTGTGCATTTTTTTTTAGAAAATAATTGCGGAAAACCAAGTGGGGTAGACTGACAGAAAAATAAAGGGTGAGACAGATTGACATTTGAGGAGGAATCCTGTAGTCCCCTCAGGTTATCAGGAGAGTTATGTTTGTTTGTTTAACGTCCCTTCGAGAATTTTACATATTGAGACGCCATTAACTGTCGGTGAAGGGCTGCAGACCTGTACTCGGCACTTACGGCCTTTGAGCATTGAGAGATCTTTTTCGTGCCAGCCCCTAATGCGACAAAGAACCTGGTTTATACGGTCTCATCCAAAGGACCAGTATCCACGTCCCCGTGTGGGATTTGAACCAGTGGGATCATCTCCTTACTCCGCGACTCTAGAGCAAACGCTGAGCTACGCCGGCGACTAGGGGACAAATAAAAATAAACACAGCACACAAACATCCCTAAACTAAGTGGTATGAACGTCATTATTTAATTGTAGGGTCATTAACTTGTGACAAATTCACTTTTAAAATAAGGACACAATATCTGTTGAAAAGTAAAATATTTTAAAAATTAAATTTAAATTGTTAGATGTATAAAAATGCCATCATTTGTTGCGATCAAAGTACAACCATGGTGTGGATTATTTTATACCTAATTATATACCACCTTGTTTTGTTTTCCTATACTCATTACACAAGCTGTAATCTGAAATGCATTCACACTGTTTCATTTCCTTAGGGATTTTTTTTTCTTTACTCTCCTAAAAATCACCTTTTAAATTGACAAATTATTATCATAGCTCATCCTAAGTCGTAATACATGTAAGTGCGTGTGAATTAATGCAATCAAACGGAAAGTTTCTGTATTGTTTAAATTTAATAACAGAAAAAGGGTTTGTCGTTATTTGAAATTTTGAGGGCTTATTTCTTTTGTCCATTCATATTGTAATGATGATTTGGAACCTTCGATTTGGTTTTCCTTATGTACGACGCACATTTATTTCAATAAAATAATCCGAAAAGGTATGATTATATACAGGTCCATTTTGAAGTGAAAAAAGTTTCGGAGGAAATGGATCATGATGTGCCGGGTTTCGGTTTCGCATAATTACTTATTTCTAGAGTTAAGTACATGTAATTGTTTGTTCACAAGGGGGTATGTGTAAAACACGAAACGAGAAACAAGAAATGAGAAACTACGGAATAAAAACATAAAAATGACCTCAAAATGTCAACCAAGGGGGCAGTTTTTACTCTGATTTAATTTTGTTAGACAACTACGGAAGCCGGTTGGTGCCAGGTAGAAAAAATATTTTATCTGGCGGCCGCCACATAAATAACTGGCGGCCACCAGAAACTTATCTATTTTTCTACCTGCCACCTACCGGCTTCCGTAGACAACAGATGCTGAGTGAAATTAAAACATTTAACTGCTCTGCTAACCCATAAAGTCTTGACAGATTTAATTAGATATGAACAGCTGCAAAGTACATGCACGTGTTATTAACAATCGGATCACCTCGCCCTTTTCCGTCGCACGCTAGAATAAAGACTCGGAAGTAAGCGTATGAATAATGCTCGAACAATCGGATCACCTCGCCCTTTTCCGTCGCACGCTTCTTTTTTCTAGCGTGCGACGGAAAAGGGCGAGATGATCCGATTGGTGTTATTAACTGATGAGGGTCAGATCACATCAAATTATTATCTGATTGCTACATAATCAAAGAAATAAACAAAACATTAAAAATACATTTATACATGCTGTTTATCAATAAAAATATATAAAATATCAAAAGCTATTATAACATTGACTTACTTAAATTACAACAATTATTGTAATGTAACCAGATTTACTAAATCACAAAGATGGTCTTGGACATTGTGATATTGAAAGCTAATGATCTGTAATAGTTCATTTTTCTTAGACAGAGTGTAGTAAGTTTATCACTGAATTATCACTGAAAGTATCATTTGATGACAAATTTATTATTATCGGCAAAAACTGAGCAAGCATTTCTTTCAGATAATAGTATTGTATTAATTAAATCCGTCAAGATTTTCTGATTTTTCTGTGTGAGATAGTTGTGTGGATCACTGGTAAATCTAATCTAAATTAGATGTTTAAATCATTTCACTATGCATCTGTCATCTAACAAAATGAAGTCATAAGCACAAGATGTCCCCCTTTATTGACATTTTAAGGTCATTAGTTATTTTATGCTGAATCTCATTTCATTGTTTCTTGTTTCGTGTCTCTTGTTTCTCGTTTCGTGTTTTACAAATTCCCACGTTGTCGCATAACTGTTACAATTCAAGGCTATGTACCGATGAACATCCATTACTACGTTGTATATGTAAACATACAGGCTTTTCAAGTAAATGTGGGGAGTTACGTCTTTGATAATGCATCAAAATAAGAGGATGAGAGGATGACACAGTTTTAAATTTTCTTCATAAAGTGTTATCTAAAAATGAAATCTCAAATAGAAATAAAACAATTTTGTTTCAGTAATAAATTTCAAAAGAATTGCAGGTTCCAGATTAATTGAAATGACCGGTGTAACGTAGAATTTTGACCTGGGGTTCATTTTTCAAGGTTGAATATTGAAGCAGGGGTGAATTTTCAATTGAAAATTGAGACCAAAGGTCATGAAATTTATATCCGGAGTCATTTTTAAACATCTTGGTTATTTTTTTTTTTTTCGGCGCTTACGGCATAAACGCGTTGAGAATTGCTTGAACATCTTCATAAAATTGTTTCAGTAATATAAATTATCGATTTTAAAAATCTCTCGTTTTTGAAACATTTAAAACATGGCCGTAGGAATCGGAGGGAGGGGGGGAGGGCGTGCCCCCCCCCCCCAATAATTTTGCCGATATATAGATTACTGTAGTAAACATAGATACTATACGCTTGTGTCTCCTCAATAAAAACGTCTGATGACCTTTGGTGTTTTTTTTTTTTTTGGCTTGTCAGTGGTAGTGCCCCCCTCAACTCTCAACTGCAAAATGTTTGGCTGTGCCCCCCCCCCCCAACTGAAATTGCTTCCTACGGGCCTGTTAGATCACAATTTTTCTCCAAAGTCAGTAACACCAAAACGTATGATTTTTCAACACATTATATAGCCATTCCTTACGATAAATCAAACATAAGGTGTTTTGCTATCATAGAATGGCTTCCTCAAGAAAAATGGAATAAGGAAAATTTCCTGCCTAGTGACTAGTCATTATACAATTAATTTCATTAAGAAAACAGTCTAAATTCTACAAACAAGTATACTCTAAGGATGATGTTAAAATTATGCCTTAGTTACTCTTTCACAAGATCTACCGGGTATGTAGACTTTGGAGACCATGTTCTCCAATAATCTGTTGGAATTTCGATGGGACCTAATTGTATTCCTTTATTAAAACCTGTTTTTATAATCCTTATGATGTAGAATTTATTCAAATACTTCTACATGAGAACAAAGCAAAAAAAAAAAAAAAAAAAAAAAAATCCTGCATGTTGTGGGCTTTTACTAAACATTCAGATATATCGACGACGTTTTATCTATTAACAATAATTACTTTCATGAGCAAGATTGCCTCTTCCAAAATTGTGAAATTCATAGCCCCTTGGTAAGGGTTTCTGGTGTTATGGCGGGGCTCTATTGATTATATATAGTGAAAATGCATTAAGTATTTGAAAATCTTCTTCTCTATTCCTGGGTATTATTTTAACAAACTAGTAAGTGCGTAGTTTATGATTATGATAAGCAAGGAATGCTCTTCCAAAATTGTGAAATCCATTGCCCAAAGGTCGGAGTAAGTAGTTCATTACTCTTATGCAGTTTAGATTCGCAAATTATTTCATTTTCTGTTATTGTGAGGAATTGCTATATTTGTGTGATGTCACAGTAAACTTTTCCCGTATAAATTAGGCCCCGCCCCCTTTATGCAGCCTTAACAGAGCTGCGTGGTTCCGGTGATAGAGTAGGTGAATTTGTAGTGAAAATGCATTATTTCTTTGAAAATCTTCTCTGCTCCTGGGCATAAACGAGGCATATTAATAAACGAGGGTATTTTACCAGATTTTTGAACATCTGGACATTTTGTCAAGTGTTCTGGTCCTGGCCAGGGCTCTACATGTGTATTAATTTACAGGTATTCTACTGATGGAAGTTATTCCCCTTTGCCATTCACTTTTAATAATTAATTAGTGTAAACAATGTATTTGAAAGGTTTGTTTGCTTATTGTTTAACGTCTCTCTCATATAGGATGCCACCACTTGCCGGTGGAGGGCTGCAAATTTATACCTATACATGGTCTCCACGTCCAGCAATGGATTCCGGTCCTTCGGATGAGACTGTTTAAACCGAGGTCCCGTGTCGCAGTAGGTGTTGGCACGAAAAAGATCCCTCACTGCTCAATGGCCCTGAGTGCCAAGTTTAAGTATTTGAAAGGTTAATAGAATAAAAGAATTATGCAAGAATTTTATTGTATATTACAAAAAGTACTTTCATAGTTTTAATGATCAGGTAAATAATAAATAAATAAAATGAGACAAAAATAACATATCTTATTAAATGTTCTTCAAAGATCAAGGAAGGCCAATGTGAGAGGTTACAATATGGGGTTAAAAATGTACAGAATAGTTTGTTAATAGTCTACATGGTGATGGTGAAAATGGGGGGGGGGGGGGCAGATTAAAACTGAATTTATGAGTTGTTACTGAATACTAGACTAACTACTTCGTTGATCCTGATCATCCTATTTCTCTTGCTTTTGGACAACAAAGCTTCATCTATCAGTTGTTTTATTCTCTGTGGATCCTCTAAATTGTTGTATTATACTCAGGTGACCCTTAAGGCTCTTGGACCTCTTGTTTTGAATTCAAATAAATAAAGATATTGAAAACATCGATACATTGTTTTATTGACTTGGGAATAAATTGGAATAAATTGCTTTTTCACTGTTAAAAAGTGGGCACATGCATATACATTTCCTTAGGATGCTTTTGAATTAAAATTAGTATATGACACATAATGGCTTTGCTGTTCTTAAGAGTAAAATTTTTATTGATGTATCCTTTATATTCCTTTGTATAACTGATCCCATGTTATGGCCCCTCTATTTCCCTGGGGGTCATGATTTGAACAAATCTGAATCTACATTACCAGGGGATGCTTTAATATTATTATGACCAATCATGGCTTTGCTGTTCTTGAGAAGAATTTTAATGATCTTTCCTATGTATTCCTACGTAAAACTTTGATCACCCATTGTAGCCCCACCCTACCCCAGGGGGTCATGATTGGACAAACTTGATTCTACATACCTGAGGATTCTTGCATATAAATATGACCAATCATGGCTTTGCTATTCTTGAGAAGAAGATTTTTAAAGTTTTCTTATGTAAAACTTTTTAAAATCGCCCATTGTAGCCCCACCCTACCCCTTGGGGGTCATGTTTTGAACAAACTTGAATCTACACTATCTGAGGATGCTTGCATATAAATATGACCAATCATGGCTTTTCTGTTCTGGAGAAGAAGGCTTTTTCAATGATTTAAAGTATGAATAGATACCTTTCTAAACTATCTTCCCTTAGGAATACACAAGGTCTAGAGCAGAGGTAGTGTACTGTCCAAGTCATGGCATAGTCCTAAGTTAGTTTAGAGTAGATTTTACACTCGCATTGTGACATAGGAGGGGACACAACTCAGATGTCTCAACCTGCAACACACAAATACAAATTATTACACTATAACAGAGATAAAAAGAAAATCCAAGTCATGATTACTTTATGGAAGGTATACTCCATGAATTGTGCCAAAGTCAATACCAAACAGCCAATTACTAGTATAATTTTTTTTATAAATTTTGCAGTCAAATTGTGAAAAGTGATTTGGAATATATGTACTGCACTGAGCCCTAAATAGTGATTAATTTCAGAAATAATTTAAATTAATAATTTGATTTCAAAAATAATTTCAAAAATCTGAGATATTGTCAGAGAATGTACATGTACCATGATATATTTTGTTGGGAAATAAAAACAAAGACCAATGGGCAAGGATTTTATTTATTTTTTAAAAAAAATCTGGAGATTAAGGGAAACCTATATTCTCCTACAGTGGCAAGGAAAGTATTTCTATTCTGCTAAGGCAAATTTTTAAACTTCTAAAAAAAAAAAAAAGAAACAAGTTCAAACTATAGATTTCCAATAAAAGAAGTGTTGCAATTATGACTTGGCAATCCATTAATAACTTTACTATAATTTTTATTTCCATTTCACACAATAGAATTTGCATCAAAATCGAAGAATGCACTGATCCCTTTCCTTTAGTGATAGCAGTAAAAATTAAAATTAGATTCAACTAGATCGTAATGTGTAGCAATCTCGTTGGAGTGGAATAAAGATCTAATTTTAGTTAGACTGAATTTACTGAAATTTGTTTATTTTGTTTGTGATTTATAGAAGGATAATGACCAGCACTTATTACTCATCTTTGCAATCAATCAAAGTTACGCATATTTGTACAAAAGACAAGAGACAAAATGCACATTAAACCACAGGTGTTTGGGGACAGGAACACCCCCTCCCCCCATAAATTAAGGGCTTCCCGAGTTTTTTTTATGATTTATTTTTTTAAGCATATGTTGATGTATATTGCACTATAAAAATTCACAATTAATAATATAGCTACTTCATTCTTGGGTTGGGCATGCTGAGTCTTTTTCTCAAATTTATTTCAGAGAGCTATATGCGATACACATGTACTTCCTGCCATGTCGCGTCTAGCCTCGTTTCGTATGATATAGGGGAAAAATAATTATTTCATTTGAAGGATAACTGGAAACGAGATATATATCTCTTATATTAAAAAATATATATCTTTCTAACTTAGAAAGATATTTCTTTTTGAAAATCTAAAGAGATATCTCTTAAGCTTAGAAAGATATCTCTTTTAACGTTGTTTAAGAGATATCTCTCTAACTCCATGAGGTATCTCTCTCGCTTAAAGAGATATCTCTCTAGCTTAAAAAGATATCTCTCTAAGTAAAAGAGATATCTCTTGCAAAAAGAAATATCTCTTTCGTTTAAAAAGATATCTCTCTAGGTTATAAAGATATCTCCCCTAGTCAAAGAGATATCTCTTTTAGTTAAAGAGATATCTCCAAAAGGTGAAGAGATATCTCTAAAAGCTAAAGAGATATCTCTCTTATTGAATGAAATTGAAAGAAAATTTTAATTTTATGATATTGTTAAAGGGCCCTAGTAGAACAATCTGAAAAAGGAACAGAGTATTTAACGTCTATATAGCGTCTCCACGTTATGTTCTTTTCACGGTTATCTGGTGTACGGCTGTACTCCTTGTATCGTGAAGCCTCGATGGGGAGATCAGAACATCAAATTTGTTAACCGCCTGATGAGAGACTTAGATATAGGTTTTGCCTCCATTTCATAAGCTTTATTACTACATGTAAATGTATAACCTAGTCTCACTTAAAGGGTGGTTGGATGTAAAATGAAAAGAAACAAGATGTGTTTGTGAAACACTGATGCCCCCGTATGGCAGCTTATGGCGAAGATTAAAGTTTTTGAATGCAAGTCAAACTCCATGTCAAGAAATCAAAAATGTTGGTACCCAAAGAAAGGTCTTGTCTCGAGTAAATACCTGTGAAATATGAAAGCCCTAGTACAAACCGTTGAAAAGTTATTTTTTCTAAGTAAGTAAAACGGCAAAGTCAAGGTCAAATGGTGCCCTAGGGGAGTTCTTATCACAAGTGAAACACATGATCGTGAAATGTGAAAGCCCTAGAACCAAACATTCAAATGTTATGGCCAATGTTAAAAATTTTTAAGAGTAGGTCAAACTCCAAGGTCAATGCCAAAATTGTTGGTATCCAAAGGAAGGTCTTGTCACAAGGAATATACTTGTGAAGTATGAAAGCTCTAACACCAACTGTTCAAAAAATATGGCCAAGGTTAAAGTTTTTCAAAAGTAGGTCAAACTTCAAGGTCAAGGTCAAAGGGTCAGATTTGTTGGTATCTAAAGGAAGGTCTTGTCACAAGGAATACACATGTGAAATATGAAAGCCATAGCTCCAACCAATCAAAAGTTATGGGCAAGGTTAAAGTTTTTGCGGACAAACAGACAGCTAGACAGACGGACGGACAGGGCAAAAACTATATGCTCCCGAATCTTCGATTACGGGAGCATAAAAAATGAACGAGACGGGTGGCTTCAAATCCTTTGCCACTGTTTGCAGTTTAACATATTATCATATTCAAACCAAAAAACCAACTATAAACTGCCTGCATGTTAGTGTTAATATGTTTTGTTCAAAATAAGAAAAAAAAGGTTTTTTTTCTCTTTACAGACTATTTCGAGATGTCTGAAAACATTACCACACTAACTGGCGTCCTTGTTGATGTTTCTGGATCAATGAGGTGGAATGTTGGAGAAGGTGTTAACGAAGGAGGCGGTGATTGGGTGCGGTCAATATTTCAGGTCATTGACGATCTAATCAAACACGATATATCTGAAACAAACGAAGTGTTTGCTATCGCTTATGGAGCAAACAATTGTAAAAATGAAATTTTTGACATTCTTAGCACGTTAAAACGGTTTCAAATTCCAGTGCCTCGTTACGAGTCTTTTAGACAAATTATTGACCGTTTACTGCAAATACTTCATAATGCCGGTGCTTCATCTGTCAGAAAATGGGCAACTATTGATGTCATCAAGAATGCCATTTCACATAACCTGGCGGCTGCAATATTGCGCGAACTCGAATCTGACCGTAACTTTGTAAGATTTTGCGTCGATAAATGTTTACCACCAGCATGCAAGGGATATACACCAGTAGCCCTCAGCGGATATGATATATTTTCTTTGTTTGCAAAGGGAGTGATAGGCACAGCTGAGTCCGTAGCCAGTACAGTTCGTCCAGCAACGAAGGCTGATGTAACAGAAGCAGTGGGAAAGGCAATGGGTTTCCTCCTAAATGATGTCAGCATAAGTTCATCCATATTTAGTGTTCAAGAGGCTTCAAACATAATCCATGGAAGCGTTGGTGAAGAACTCACAGAAAACCGTTTGCAGGAGCTGATGGACACAGTGAAACCTATCATTTATGGTCTTACACCATTTTATACATCATTGCGAAAGGCGAAAGAGCTGTTTTCCAGTACAAGGTATAGAAACCATAAAAAGCTGCTGTTTATTTTTTCTGATGGAGTGCCTACGGATCAAGGAAATGAAAAAATGTTCGGGGAGTTGAGGGATGAAAATGTAGTGGTGGTGAGCTGTTTCATTACAAGATCAACAGCAGTCGAGTCACAGAGACTTTATAGTAAGATTGAAAGAGAATGGGACAACGGTGCTAAATTAATGTTTAAGCTGAGTTCCAAAGTTCCAACTCAGCTGCTGCCACGTACAATATTCGTAAAGCGTGGGTGGAAGATTGATATAAAAAATAACGAAACAAAATTGTTTTTGCAGGCGAATCACCCTGATATTATGAGGGATGCTTGTAGTCTAGCGCGGAATGTAGTCTGTTGTCAAGATGCATTAGCGGATATACTTGTTTCGGTTTCGCTAGACATTTATATCAACCAAAGTACCACTGGGTTTGGTGCACAACGTCAGGTTGGGGGTACGTGCTATGCTAACGCTTCAGCAGCAGTACTTCATCTGTCAATGAAACGAATTCTTGGACGAGAGGGTGGTTATCCGGACTTCTTAGAGTTGAGACAAGATTTAATCGATCTGTATGGTATAGAGGGAGCAAATACTCTTGCAGTTCTTCAAAATGTGTGCCCAAAGTACCGGCTACATTGTAAGAAAGTTGACATAATCGGCGCAATGCATGCCATAACTGCCAAGCGCCCAGTGGTTGCAAGGTTCCGTCTTACTGATGCCGAATGGAAAGTATTTTCAAAGTTCTATGAAGAACACAAAACAGGTGTTCTTACTAGAAATGAAATAGATCTACGCAAATCCCGATATGGTAAACTAGGAGGCCATGCAGTCGTTCTTACTAGCTTCAACAGTGAGTGTCTGTATTTAATGAATTCCTGGGGAACAGAATGGGGAGACAATGGATTTTTTAGGGTGCAAAATGCTGATGTCCTTGATTTAGAGTTCATTGATGTTTTCTGGACACTAAATGATCTCACTGAAAATGAAAAAGACTACCATAAGCGACATGGCTCCGAAGTTGCTGATAAATTGATGAAAAGTTTGATTAGCTTACAGAGGGCAAAGTACCTATGCCCAGTATGCAACCAAACATCACTTGTCACTGAGTTTTCAGGCCATTTGACACAAGCAAAATGTCCGAAATGCTATTGCTTTTTCAATAGTAATGAAGCGGGGAATATCTTAGCATTGAATATGTACCTCACCTCCATCAGTAGGTAGATGGTTTATTTTTGAAAACTGAGAAATGACACTTTCAACATTTTCATCCTTATACACATTCCAGTGGATGAAAGAAGATAGGTGAACAAGTCGAGAAACATGTCTATGGTTCGACAAATAAAAATATGAAAATGAAATCTCAATTACAACACAACTTTCTTTGATATCTTAGTGAACATTAAAGTAGTAACATTGAAGTTTAAAATATAACATGCATATGATGAACGTATCAGATATAGCAAAACATCTATAAGGAATAAAATTGTTTGACCCTATAGCACTCACTTGAAGCGTGATTTACTGTAACTGTACAAAAAATGTTAAGCAAGACACGCTCTATGCTTTATCAATATGATATACTTTACTATACAGGGAATAAAAATTCCTTCGTTGTAAGTCATTAACAGTGTTTTACAGTTTCCTCTTTGATACATACATGTTATTCATATTATAGCTATATATAGTAAAGATTGTTTCTGCAGTTTTATATTGGGTATTGCCCTGTTGGCCACCTCATCAGGGGTCCACCTTACAGTGAATTCCTGTGGGAAACGTAATCAAATAATCATATCGCCTTTGCTTTTGTGCTTGCTGTAAGCTTTAATTGGTTCCAGTGTAAATATGTGTCTGTTTTCATCTCATTCCAGCATTTTAAGATGCATCTTATTCATTCTTTGATTCTTGGATCATATTCTGCAAACAGAAGTGATAACTAATTATGGATTATGGTTTTATTTAGCATGTCATTTCTGTCAGCTCATGCCCTTAAGAATGAAGTTTATTTCAGAGAAAGAAACTTGGGGCAAGTACGTGTACACAATATAAAACCATCGAAACACCCTTTACTATATTACCATTTATCATGAATTATACACAAAAAAGGAAAATAAAATGTCGCAAAAATTAGTATTGGAGTGTCAGTTACCTAATAAATTTCATACACGAATTTGGCTGAATGTCCTTTTTTCACACCAAATGATGTTTAACTTTAAGTCAAATCTGATCTGTAAGTCATCAGAAATAAAAGCAAACACAAATCTGGAAAACTTAATGTGAAAGAATGACAGATTGACAATCTGAGGGATAGAGGGGGTTAAAAAATTCCATGGCATTTCTTTATAAAACAACAACAACATTAGAAAAAGGTCTCAATTTTTTATTATTGCACATCTATTGACTTCTACAGGACTCAGGACATCTGTATCTCCTACAATACAAAAAGATTCAGGACATAAGTAAGACTAAGTGTCATGATACAAATGACATATCCAAACTTTACTATCAAGAACATGGAGTGTGATAAAAATCACAAGTACAAAGTACTTACAATTATTTCAGTATTTTGAAATTCAAGAATTAACCAAAGAAAATCAATGTCTGCTACATGTACAATAAATATTATTCAATATATTTTTGGGCAAGTAACATTCCAGGTAAAATTTTCAAAATAAAATAGCTGAATTAAATTTTATTTTTAGACTGGTGCAGGCTAATATCAGCATCAGTCAACTGAATTACAAAATACCTCATAATTCCTAACCCATGTGTATGCATTAGACATAGAATTCCATTTACCGGTACGTAAAAAAATTAGTGTGCAATAACACAGGGGTATTTTGATGTAATCAAATGCATCTTAATTAAAATAAAATAATTTTTACAGTTAATGACATATCAAAATAATCAATTATATTCAGGAGTCAAATTTTTGTGGGAAAAGGAAAACATTTGGTTTCTAGGGACTTTATTTCATGGTTTAAGAAGACACATGAATACTTTTGTTTAAAATTTTATCATTTTGTGAAGGATGTCTCTTTGTATCCCATAAACAAATGAAAATTAATCCACTTTGGAAATTAATGAATTCATGGTAATAAATACTGTAATGAAAAAGGCCCATGCAAACATATATATATATATATATATATATGATCATGTAGAGTTTTAAATTAGTTTTAAAATACATAACATCAAAAATACTTATATTCATTATGATAATTATTGAGAGTTTAATTTTATATTTCTGCTGTCATTAAATTGCTCGCAATATGGCAATAAGATTTATTTACCTATATTCTATATCACAAAGATACCATGAGACCCACTAAATCCATTAAATGACATCATTTACTTGATAGTACTGAAGTAAAACTTCTAAAACAATTATAACAAAGCTACTATAAGCAGTATAAAAATGTACAGAAAAATGACAAAAACATTTAAATATTACAAAGTAACATATTTTTAAAACAAATGCCACCGTGATTGTTACATTATTTTTCTAGTATACCAGAACTTAAATCACAAATATTCATTTCAATGATTATTGCAAAACGAACATCATAAAATCTTCATAAATGCAGCAGCTCTGATGACATACGAAAACTTAAACACAAGACATAAACAAAACTTTCCTATTCCTCATTTTTGTAAGAAAATATGGTTCATTACAGAGATTCTTTTTTTTTACATTCTATCCAGTCGAAATCAAGTCGCCCTCTTCTGCGGGTTTCATTTTAGATGCTGCAAGAGAAACTGGCTTGTACTGGAAGCACGAATTATAAACATTCCATTTCCTTTGTGAAATAAGGCATGAAAACCATGTGACAGGTAACTAAGCAACAAGATAAGGTCAGTCTAATATCTGTAAAATGTCTGTACATCACTAATCCTTTCCAACTCGCTTCTTTCTCACTGAAAAGAAAAATAAAGATCAAATCTTGTCAGTAACACTTAAAACATTTTCTATTAAAACAAGTTTAGAAAAATATTTATTCATATACTGTAGAAATACTTTTTTCTGCATCAGAGATTACTTTTTACTGTGTATGCAGTAAGAAATTTTCCACAAAAATTTGTCACTGCGTACTCTGAGTTCCTTTAAGACACAATGACTATCCAAGAAATCTGCGTATTTTTCTAACCATGTACAGAAATTCTAATTTCACAGAATTATGACCCCATAGAAAGAAGTATGTCTACAGTACATGTATTTAAACAGCTTTTTTTTTTCAAATAAATGGTATTGCATCATAGTATTTAAATTGCATCTTGAAGCACAAGTTGAAGAATAATCTCAGATAATGTCTATATGCATCAGTTTTCTTTCAGCTTTTATGGAAACATCTTCATAATTACTTACAATTATCGTTGTTCTCCTGGAGTTTTTCATGGATTCGAACTCTTGCATCAGGAAATTCTAAAGCAATTCCAAACCTAAGTAAGTTACTGTTTTCACCGACTAGTTTGACTAGAGCCATCTCGACTTTGTTTCCCAGCACCTCTGGTTTCTACAAAATAATATCAAAAAGTGGAGATGATGCACAATATGTGTCACATACATGTAAATCATGCTGAGAAAAAAAATAGCCTTTCAAATCACTTTCAAAGAAATGAGAGTTGTCTTTCTTGGTCTATCACTTCTGATCTGGAAAAGAAGTCCAAGACTTCAAGAAAAGAATTTTTTTAACTAAATACTAAAGACAGTCAAATTTTGGATTCAAAATAAGCATTCACATTAAATTCTGAGTGCTAACAATCTATGTATTGTTTGTTTTGTCTTTAAAATTTCTTTAATACAGGGTGTTTCAGAAAACATGCAACCATATACTTTCCTCACTTTATTCATATGCAAACAGGAACATATGGACGTTTTATATAAAATTATGCTAAAAAGGCTAAAGATTTTATTAATAACAAAAATTTAGAAAAAAAATTACCATTTGAATTAATTATGACATCATATTTGACATCACTGAAAAAACAGATAATTTCATTCTTAATGTGGAATTTAATAAAAAGCAATCATCAGGAGTTCTGATACTGCTTTATCAGAGCATGTCACTAGTTCCTGTGATTAGGACAAGGAAAATTACGTTTACAGAATGCAAAGAACTTACTAATAGTAATATAAAGTGGAAGTTGTATAAATCTGTAAAATTTTGCAGCTAATGGAAGAGTTAATGCATGATAAAAGAAATTTAAAGAAAAAAAAATTCAAGAAAAAGACAATTAGAACACATGAAAACATTTAGAATGTTACAAAAGAGGCATTGTTCCAGAGACTCACATGAAATCCTTTTGTAAAATAACAGAGTTTGTGAACAAATTGAGCAAGTCAAGTGTAGATCAGATGCTGAAATATGTCTTAAGTCTTAAACCTTGGACTTGTTAGAACAAGTGTTTGGAGGACCATTCAACTCTTTCAAATCCGTTAAATTGGGTCTCCACACTCACCTGACTTAACACCCCTTGACTTTTATCTGTGGGGATATTTAAAGGTCAAAGTTTTTAAAATACACCCCCAAAAACAAATGAACTCAAAATGGTGCGAAAAATGATTCCTGATTCATTACCAAGAGACTCTCTGCAATAGTAATGAGAACTTTCTTGCATCGGATAGATTTATTCATTCAGCAAAAATGACGCCATTTAGGACATATTTTGTAACCAAGTGAAATTTTACAAGTTTCTTTTTTCTTTTGTAATTCATTATCTATTTGACATATTAACTTTATTTTCATAAGAATAAATCTTGAGCTTGTGACTTTTAATTTGATATGTTGGTGCATGGTATTGGTTGAAACACCAGTAAAATTTAATCAATCAAAATGGTTGCATGTTTTCTGAAACATCCTGTACCTGATTTTCTATTTTGATATCATAATCATCTTATATTGACACATTCTTTCTGTTGACCGCCGATATATGGCTGAAATATTGCCGACTCGGCGTTAAATAATATCAATCAGTCTTTCTGTTCTTTTATCTGGTTGGCTACTTATATATATATAGCTCTATAGAGCTCCTTAAATGTTTTCTTTATATTGAAAGCTTAATTTCTACAATCTGATTGGTAGTTTAGAGTTTTTCTCTTACCTGATTGGCTACTCTAAGCTCCTGAAGTGTTTGGTTCTTATTGATAGCTTTCATAAGTTCTACTATGGATTCCCCGCTAATGAAATTGGACTCCACATTTAACACTTTCAGGGTTTTATTTTCTGACAAGGCCTCTGCTAATTTCTGAAAAATGCAGAACAATTTAACACTAGAAATTAAAAGAACTATATTCTTAAAAGCATATTTTTGCCCCCATAAAAGCCAAATTTTGAAAAACTCTTGAAATATATACAATTGTATATATCGTATGAAAAATCTTAGATTACAGAAATTATCATAGTTTGGAAGATTTATGTCAATGCTTCTTTGACATCACAAACTATTTGAATTTTCTGTTATTTTCAAGAAAAAGGATAAAATTTGCTCAACTTTGAATACAGAATATACAGAGCACAAGCTTGCCCCAGATCAATACATACAAATCTGATCAATATTATAACTCTACACATTATATCAAAAGATCGAGCTGGGGCAGACCTGTGCTTGATGACTTTTAATT